CCTCTCCAATCTAAAACTTTTTTTCACCAAACCCCCTTATTTGTTCTAACCCCTTATTCGTTCTTTAGAGAATTTTTTTTAATTTGTTATTTATAGGCAATATATTCCCTCTCCTGAATTTTAATTTTTTTTTCTCTCCTCTCCAATCTAAAACTTTTTTTCACCAAACCCCCTTATTTGTTCTAACCCCTTATTCGTTCTTTAGAGAATTTTTTTTAATTTGTTATTTATAGGCAATATATTCCCTCTCCTGAATTTTAATTTTTTTTTCTCTCAAGAAAATTTTATTTATTAGTAAATTATAAGTAAAGGAGTCCAGGGAGAAAAGTTCAGCTAGTTCTGTGAGACCCCAAAGTTCCGAGGAATTAATTATGAGTGAGATGAATAAAGTTAAGGGGGTTTGGTGAAAAAAACACTCAAAAGTCAAGGGTGTTTTCTTCAATTAACCAACAATCTTTTTCTCACACGTCACAACAAATGGATCCAAACCCCAAGCCGGTGACGCCGAAGTGGGATCGATTGGTACGGAGAGAGCGATTACGTCATTTCATCCGTCGATTAGATAGAGAAATACCAATCTCAACGGCAGATGGCTGGCCGGGGTCCCACCCAACCGCCTAAAAAAGCCCCATTCTGACAATTATACCCTTCAAGGTGCTGACTTTCCCTTTTATTTACTCCTCTTTTCCCCTGGCCTCGCCTCCCCAGAGCGACGACGAGTAGGGTTTTAATCGAGGTCTTTTTAGGTAATTTTTTTTCTTTTCTTTCTCTCTCTTAATTTTGTCCGTATTTTTTTTGCTTTACTTGTTCTTGAATCTGTTAGACGAAGCTCGTAGCTGAATTTCTTGGAGAAATTTTGGCAAGAAAACGTTTTTCAAAATGTCCATTCTATTTGTGGTTTTCTTGTTTTTTTGTGGAACATAGGAATCTTGAAGACGCGTTGAATGAGTAATCATCAGCTATTTTAACAGCAACTCCTCAAATTTAATGATTCTAGTCTGATCTTGGAATTAGTCGTGTATTAGGGCAACAGATCTAAGGTTTTAGCTTGGGGAAGAAATACGGTAAGGAAACACTAGGGATGAATCCGAGCAAACAAAGTTCAATTCACTGATATCTCCAACTGACTTATAATTCTCAAGCTTACGCTTTTGCTTACAGATCCTCGGATCGAAACAGAAATTTTGATTTTTTAACTAATTCAAGAAATTTTAACATGCAAATTCCTAGCTGAAATATTTATACGGTTTAGTGTATTACTGTAACCGCCTGCAACACAGATGTCTTGTTTAAGGGGCATTTACTGCTGCATCTACTATACTGGTGTGGGTGGGGACACGGACGCGGACGCGGGACACAACAAATTTGTAAAAGGCAAGATATGGAGAGACACATAATATTTATGTTAAATCAAAATATTAAATTAGATACCTATGTCATTTGTATGTTTCTTTAACGATCATTAACAATTAAGAATCAAGTTAAACCAAACTAAGAATTAAGGTTTAACAACAGAAGTTTAGTTTTGATCGCATGAGATGAGTATTTTTCTAATCTTTAAGTGATGGCTTTCGGGTTAAAAAAACTATTGGTTTTGAGCCTGATATGCCAAACAAACTAGTTTAGGGCTATACGTAACGGGCAAATCGGGTTTTCCTTTGGCCTACATGTTTCCATTGCGTGTCCGCAGCGAATCCATGTCCGACACGTGTCCAACATGATATGGCACCCAAAACACAGTGTCCGAGTAAACTAGGGTCTAGTAATTTATAGTCTATTAATTCATAATCTAGGGATAATACGAACAAGTAACTATTTCAAATCAGACCAAGTCAGAAACCAATATTGCATCATTCTGAATTGCTCCCATCAATAACAAAACGTGAGAGATCCGATTAAGATAATTTAGACATTTAGAGTGGAGGTAAATTGACACACTAATTAAGAGAAGTAATAGAATTATAATTTAAAAAGAAAGGAAGACCTAGTAGTAACTCAGATGGAGGAAATGAGGAAGGATGAGTCTTTGATCAATTTAAGTGAAAATGTAGCGCAAGGCTTTTCTTAGATTTGGTTGATAAAAGAATCAAATATGGTAATCCACATATTTAATTCATTTGGTTGTTAAATGTCCACTAGACATTTATACATTCTAAACCATTACCCTCTATCTATCACACATGCACAAGATTCTAATATAACATATATGAAATTCATGATGATTGACTTTAATTGTGCATAAAACCTTAGGGAAAATTTGAACAGAAACTGTTGTGTCAGACAATTCTGTATCAAAATTCTTTGATCAAATATTCAAATGGTGGAGATGTGTATCATCTTTCGAAAAGAAAGGAAAAAAAAGATAATTCCCAGATACTAAGTTGATATTTCATGAATTCTTGATCAAATATTCAAATGGTGGAGATGTGTATCATCTTTCGAAAAAAAAGATAATTCCCAGATAGCAAATAAAACTGGATACAAATATATTTGGACTCTAGGATAATTTGAACTTGATTTTGGATGGAAATTGCAAATTTGATTTGAATTTAGATTCATAAACACAAATCTGGAGTCGCTTTTGAATTCTATGTGACCACCTCAATGCTCAATTTTATTTGATTGAGCTCCAAGCCCACTTATCCGCTTTACCTGTAATGTTACATGCTACTATGTGTTCTTTAGTACACATCAACAAGTTGGCAACTCAAAAGAAACAATCATCCCAATTATGGACTGGAATCATATACTTGCTTTTTTTGTCCTTTTGGATGTAGAATTACTATATAAAATGAACAAGTGTGATAATCTAGAACTTTTAAAGTAGAATACTAATTTAATAGGTACTATATTGTATCATTACTACGATGCTCTCTTATGTGTTCTATGTTTGTGGGTAGTCATCACTACTAGGCTTCATTGGTTAGCTTTCAGCTTACACAGATGTTGATCAGTTGTTAACTGTACTTCTATGTTTCACATTTATCTCTTTGCTTGCTTGATCTGTCTTCTAGATTTCAAGAATGAAGAATTAAGTTCTTTTTGTTTGTTGATGCTGTTGTCAGTGTTTTAAAAATAGACCGATTTTATCGATTTATTGCTGATATATAGGGTTTGGGCTATGGCCGATACGATTTTTGTAGAAATATATTGCATATAGTTTTGGGCCGATTTTCCCGATATATCGGTGGAAATCCGATAATGCGGCTAATTTCTCGTGGGCTAAAAGTCACTCGATTTTCTACAATTTGCATTCTAAGTGAACTGGTTTGGGTTTGGAGATGAAAACCCTCTTTTTTCGATGCCCAACCCGCATACACTAAACAAAAACATTGCTATTCTATTCTATTTCACATCCACTAAACCTGTTTGATGTATTTCCGATAACCAATATTTAAAACATTGGTTGTAGTTTGCACAATTAGATGAGTGACATCCTAACCCTTAGGTATCAAAGTAGTAAATGCTATCTATGTATTGATCAAGTGAAAGTATGGAAGCTTTCTGATTTTGTTTTAATGTTCTTTCTGTTCAAAATTTTATTCATTTCCCTAGATAATTACTTTAGGTGTCTGCATTCAGAAATGAAGCAATCATTAAGAATATTGCTGGATTAGAAGTTTTTGTGATAAATTGTGACTGCTGGAGCACGAACTGTTAACATATAGGCTTTCTATCAGAATGTGATGTT